TAGTGAGGGGGGGGGTGGAGTTCACTCTTCAGGGTTCAGGCTACAGTGTTAACTCCTTCGCAGCTGTTGCAGAATTGGCAGTAGCTTTTGGCTGAGTAGTCAACAGCTACTGTCAATTCATTGATGCTTGTGCAAGAGTTCACATTTTAGCTTTTGCTAGAGCAGCATTGGTCATGATTCAGCCATGCAGTTCTGGGCCCCATCCCAGAGCATCTGTGAGAAGCCTTTATAGCAGGTATGTCAAATATCCAGCCTATGGATTCCTGTCATTTGGCCCCTGGTGCCGTCCATGGGTCTTGGATTGGATTTCCGCACCACTGTAGTGCAGGCCATACCAGCCCCATATCCTGCATGAGTAGTATGGGGCAGCTCTGGTGCATGCTGTGGGTGACACTCAGGGATACATGCTATGCTCCAGGCCAGTGCAGGGTATATGCTTTTGGTGGCACTGCACTGAACTGGGCCCACATGCTGGATCCAGCATGCAGGGCCCATCCACAGGCTTGATTTGGCCTGAGGACTGGCCCAGTGCCACTCATCTGCCCCTTGGGGCATGATGAGTTTGACACCCATGCTTATAGGATTAGCTGTTCCTTGACCTCATAGCCCTTGGCTGGAGCACTCAGTGAGCATCCCACACAGTCTGGTCAGCACTGGAAGCTGTAAGAGGTTAAAAGGCTTAGTGAAGGTTGAATCTTTAACTTTTACTGGTAAGCTCTAATATAGTGGTAGGCAACCCCCGGCATGTTTGCAAGAGCGTGGCATGTGAAGGTATTTTGCTTGGCATGTGTGCCCCGGGGAAGGTGCCAGGGCTGCACTACCACAGCAAGAATTGGCCCCTTGCGGCTCCCCTGCTGTCCACCCAGCACACCAGCATCTTACAAATCAAGGTTGTGGATTTTTTTGGTGCTCTGCCCAAAAATGTTGCCGACCCCTCCTCTAATAAGTCTCTTCAGTGTACAGAAACTCCCTCTTCACTGCTACCCTTTCCAAAGCCTATTATGTGGCCAAGTTTGTTAAGGTTTTTGTGATCCTGAGAAAAAGCACATCCCTTGACACAAAGGCCCAGCTATTGCTAAATTTCTAGTCACTGCTGTACAGCATTTCAAAGAAAAGGTTTCAAGAGTATATGGGCAAAACAAGGTATTTTCCCCTTATTCTCAGAGACAGCTGAGCTCTCTTGAGCTGAACAAAGAACACCCAGCATGGAAAGTTTCACCCCAAATGGTTAATTTAGTAAAGCTGTAGCCAGCTTTAAAGTGGGAAGTGTTGAGCATACTTAATAGGTGACACCAGTAGATCCACATATGATAGCAGTCCTTTTCCTAGATAGCATTTCTGAAGGGTCACAATTTAGTCTGTTTTTTGTTCTTGTGCCTATGTAACACCACTGACAAGACAGCTGCTAGTACTTTTAAAAGTGATCTGTGTTGATTAAATTGAAAGAATTTCCAGATGGCTCTACAGATTGCATCATCCAAACTTAAGTCTCCCACTTTCTGGTTTCCTAAAATCCTTCTCTGTAGGGGTGGCTTAATAAAAAAAGAATTGTATCAAGAATTCTTCTCTGAGGGTGAAGTTACACATTACCCTTACCTTAGACCGTACTAAATCTGTGGAAAGTTAAGTGGTGTTCAAGTTCAAGCTTGCTGTGGACAGTCACATGTTAAGGATTAATACAGTTTCTTGCCTGCACATTTCTCACCTCCCTCTTGAGGACTGGAGAGCAGAGGCACAGCAAGGAGCCAGGAGACCTGGGCTCTATCCCTGCTCTGGGTGTGGGGTGGAGGGGCATCCTGGGATGCTGGCAGACTGAAAATTGCTTGTTAACCCATACCTGAAGTAGCATAACTTTGAGATGCTCAGAGGGCACTTAGCACAAGTTAACACACTTCAACATGCAGACGCTTGCATTTGAAATACCCACAGCATGATCTAAATATAACGTGTAACTTCACCTTGAGCCTTTTTTAGAGGGCACCAACAACTTATATGACCACTGTCAGTATCAAAGCTTGTTTTTAACCATCTTTAAATTGGATGTGGGTATTTTTTAAACTCTAAGCAGGGCTGTCTCTGGGTGGGGTAAATTGGGGTGGCTGCTGCACACCATTGGCTCTGTACTGCAGCCTCTTGCCACCCACTTCCCTGCTCCGCGCTCTGGTCATTCGCCAACCCCCACCCTCAGCCTTGCACTCCGGTCGCTCGCCACAGCCCTGGCTCCACACGTGCTGATATGTCCTAGGCCCTGCAAACCCCTAGGGACGGCTCTCACTTTAAACATTGGCATTTGCAAACATGCTCTGATCATTGAACCTTGGAGGTATCTCTTCCCTTTGGTCATGAAAAGTTTGCTATTAAGTTTATAGGGTGAGTTGGTAAAGACCTTTATATTTATATTTTCTAATTTTTACCATTATAAAGGATTCCTACAGCCATTTTCTACAACTGACCTTTAAAATTCAGTAGCGACCAAGTTGTGTGGCTACACACGTCTGTTTTGTTGGGTTTTGGTTTGGTCTTGTCTTATGAAATTATTTTCAAGTAGCAATGGAAGAAAGTGGCCACAAAAGTGAGTGAAGCCAGACTTCTCAGGCCCCAGGATCTACCCTGTTCTCTGTGGCTGTCACGTGGGACAGGAACTCCCTCAGCTCCAGAGTTGGGGCATGGAAAGCCAGACAGGGCTCCCTTGGTCACTTCTCAGACCCAGCATGCAGTCCTGAACCCTGTCTCCCTCTGGGACAACATTCTCCTGTGTCAGGCCTGCCAGTGCTGTTAGTGTCATATCCCAAGTTACATTGGCCCCTTCTTTGGGATGCTGATGATTCTGTACCGCAGAATGTCCAGTAGCTAATGTTTAGACCACTTCAGAAAAGGTTGGTGGTCTTGATGTATGACACACCCTGTAGAAGTTATGGGCCTGCTTGCCAACTGAAAGGTTAATCAGAGATTAAAAACCACAGGACTGAGTCAATAGATTCCATACTTGTTATGTTCTTATTTATGTGGTACCTGGTTAAGAAACTAAACCATGAAATAATGCTGGGGCTAATAATTGAGTAAAAATGGAGGCAGTAATCCCAGTCAAAAAATTGGTGCCAGTAATTTATTTTCTTTTGCCTCATTAATCTTTTTCTCTGCCTGTTAAACTCTGTAGATCTGAAGCAAAAACTTGTCTCTTCTGGGCCTTCCTTCATTTAGTTACCATGGTATAGTTATTGTACCTTTTCAATCGACCATTAGATACAGGTTGTCTGATGCACTGCATGGTATTAAAAATCCCTTTGCCAAAGAGATTATGTTTGTGAATTAGATAAATGTAGACAGGAATATATGAGGAACATGATAAGGAATGAGGAGCAAGTTAAATAATCAGTGAAATAGCTATATGATAGTCTTATTTTAGAAATGTGCTTAATGTTAAACCTTCTTCTGAAATTATGCTATTTTACTTAATTTCTTTCTCCCTTTTGTTGATTTCCACTTCTGAGTTATGCAGGTCAGCCATGTGACTTATTACAATAAGAATAATAGGCTTTTAATAACCCTTTGACTTCACTAATTTGTATGTGGACAGGTTAGTTTTGGTGAAGATGGGTAGGTGAATAAAACACTTTGGATAGAATATTGAAACAAAAATGGCTGCTTTCGTTGGCTGTGTTTAGTCTGAGACATTCAGAGGTGAATGCAAATTTAAACAGGCAGTGTTTAAAATAATATCAGTCTTTTATCCTTACCATTATATTTTCAGCATACCCCACATTTCATTTGGAAATACCTTGATGTGTTCCTAATTGGTGGTGTATAGCTCAGTGTTTCAGGTACATGAGAATTGAATCTTTTTTTTTTTTTTAAAGGGAATCACTTTATCAAGTTCTTTGCCCCTTGGTGTGGCCATTGCAAGGCCTTGGCCCCAACCTGGGAACAGCTGGCGTCAGTCTTTGAACATTCTGACATTGTCAAAGTTGGCAAGGTAGGTGGAAAGCTCTTACCAAACAGAAATTACACATCATTTGGACTAATATATTAGCCAAGTATAATGTAATTCATTGTGAACTCTCTTAAGTCTTTATTTTTTGTTTAGCACTTGGTAAGTCAATCTACCTTCGTAGATCCATTTTAACTTTGAACTTGATATTTTTCTTGCATATATCCATGTATATACCCACTAATATTTGTTTTGAAGAGATGGACAGTTCTAAATTGTCAGGATTATTCGTTTTAAACAACAACTTACCAGAAATTATATAAACAACAACTCCCTGTGTGTAGTAGAGAAGCAAAAATATAAAGGTCAAGAAATGTAGGTGTTGGGAGGAATATATGTAGTTTGCTTTCTATTATGTTGCATTTGTCTGTTGCCAGTGCTTGATAAATAGCTAAGATTTATTTTGAGGAGTAAAAATTATTGTTCCTCTGTTCTCTACACCAAGGTAAATCATAGATCTAATAAAGCCCTTAATCATCTGACCCCAGCAGTCTTTCCTGCCCAAGTGCAGCAGGGGCTGGACCTGATGATTTGTAAGGTCCTTTCTAGCCCCTAACAACTATGAAACCATGAAGAGCTTTTTTCTGTTTTCTTCACCCCACAAAACTGTTTTAGCCTTTCTGAGGGTCTTCCATCTTAAAAACTGATATCTTACCTTGCTTTACTATTTTCCTTAGGGATGATAACCAGATTCTGTTGTGTATTTACCATGGGAGCTTGTTACTTTTACCTGGCGTGACTTCTGTGCAGAGGTATGCAGGTGGTCTGGCAATTACAGTTACTCGCTTTATTTGCTGACCCATGCTTGAAGTCCTGGTGGCTTAATAGTCTCAGTCCCCCAGGCTATCCAATGGAAAATAATGTATTATGGCTACCTTTTAAATTCTTAACCTCTTTGAAGGTTTAAGTTGATAATAGATAGATGGCACTAATTTATAAGTAAAACTGCTACTGACATTGTGAATGCTACAGAGGGGCAATGAGTAGTCTATCCTTTCGCTGTCTCAGTAGCGATTTGGGTTGTTACTGGTAATGTTAGCTTCTCCTTATTTGAAATGATTTTGAAAAATTCTTTAAATTTGGAAGAGTAAGGGTCCTGTAGGTCAGAATAACTTCTCCTTAGAAATGTAAACACAATTTTGATTTCTGAGTACAAAAGTACCAGAGGATTTTGGTTTTTTTGTTCTGTATCAAATGTTGTAAATAGCATGCCTGGAATCCCTGCTTGACCTATCGGGACAGGAAGGTTATGGGGTGGGGGAAACAACTAGGGACAGGCCTTACTTGGCTTAACTATCTTGCTAAAAAGTTACCCATTGTGTTTTCATTCAGAAAATCTAGTGCTTTCCAAAAGTTTAGTGGTCTTGCACTGAGCAGTATTCTGGCATTTGTTCCTTGATAAAAGCAAGACATTTTGTCTTATGTCTAGCCAGTTTTGTTTTATTGGATATCATGCCATTTTTGAGCTGAGACTATATTTTATCTAAGAATGTAATTCTCTGAGTCAGGGGGAAACATGACCTTGACATAGGTTGAAGCAAGACCGACATGTAATCCAGATGAAGAATGTTCAGTAGCACTACCACCTTGTGACTAGATTGTGTGCAGTCTTTGGGGTTGACCTCACTTTGTTTTCAGCGACCTGTGACAAATAATTCCTAATGTTAACTTCAATGTGCTGTCTCAAGCAGATGTTGAATCGTGGATCATATTTCTAAGTCAGTTTCCTAATAGATTGGCTTTTGGCAAAATTACAGTTGAACTTGCCTTAAAGTTGCTTTACTAGCATGTGGAATTTCCCTTGTATTAAAATCAAGTTGCTAGAACTTGATGTAATTTCTGATTTCAAAGACAGCTCCAATTTCCTAAAAAGGGGTGAGCCAGGAAATCCATGTGCTGAAAATTAAGCCTTAAAGTTCTTACATCTGAGCTTTGTGTGCTTTTACTGCCTGGGTTATATTTTTCATTCTGCAAAGCCTGAGCAATTGTTTTAATTAAAGCAGCTAATGATAGAGCTTTTGTTCTTCTGTGCTTCTGCCCATACTCTCCCTAAAGCAACTTGAGGGATACTGTGGAACGCTGACAGGCTTTCAAGACAAGACTTGCACATTATTTTGTTTCTCTTCTGACAAGCCATGGGTTTCTGTTGGTATATATTGTAAGATACCAAATTTCAGGGATATGAAGTTGAGTATGAAAACACTTGATTTTATTTTATGAATGTAAATGATTTTAATTATTTTAAACTTCAGGTTGATTGTACTCAGCATTCTGAAGTCTGCTCTGAGAACCAAGTTCGAGGATATCCCACCCTCCTCTGGTTTACGAATGGTGAAAAGGTGAGTCTGCAAATTCAGCATGTGATCAACATCATTTTTTCCATTGTAAAGTACGTGGGTGGTTTGTGTGGTCAAGTTGGGAGGAGATTTTAAGCTGGCTTATTTGAAAGCTCCTTTGCAAGAGAGAGAAAGATGGAGATGCACACAGGTCAGTCTGTGTCGGCTGTGAACTTGTTTGGCCCACACATAAAGCTTCAAATGGAGTAGCGTACCTGTTCTGCAAATAACAGAAGCAATAGCATGTTTGTGATCCAGAGACAGATACCTCAGAATACACCAATTCGTGTGAGAATTCTGTGCGTCTTTGAGTGTTTCATTTTATCCATACGTGCTATTAAGTGTCTGAAAGTACTGATGAAATAGTCATGGTAAAAAAAACTGTGTACCTCCTCCTGAGTAGATTACTTTGGCAGAATAATGTGCGAGTAGTGGCCAACTCAGAGCAGTGCCTGTTGAGGCCACGTGAATTCCTCCTTACAAAGCTGAGATTGAATCTTGTGGCCCCAGTTGACTTATTTTCTTTCTCTTAATTGAAAAAATTGTAAAGATGACTCTGGAGAAGTTAGGGAAATGGCAAGCATGAATCTGAAGAAGCAGTATACTTGGCCAGCAGCAAATAAGCCTTGCATTAAGTAGTATTTTTATTTTCATTTAAACACTCATTGGATGAAATAATGGTCTAAGGAGCAGGGACCAGAATCTAGAACTATCCCCGAGGCTGATTAATGATCCTTCTTTTTGTGGCCCCATGAATCTTGCTTTCTTTTCTGCATAGTTTCACTTCCACGTCAAACAGGGAGGGACTTAGTACACCTAGGAATTCCCAGAGCTAGGTAGACACTGAGCAAGAGATTGTTGGATCATAATTTTGGACTCAAGTCCCTGTGTCCTTACTTGGATATGGCCTGAAAGCTGTTGACCAGTGGGAACATGGCTGACTCTCCAAAACCCCTTTCAACTGCTTAATGCTGATGTATGGCTGATGCTCCATACATGAGGTGGTTTCCAAAAAAGTGATATCTTTTCAGGACTCTCCTGCATGTTAATAAGCTGAGGTTGCTTCAGCGTAGGCTTTCTTGACAATATGGGTCTATGTCTTGGATTTCTCCATTAATGAGAATGAAGTTGCTCTGATTCATTTGGACTGTCCAGCTACTTCCAAAACCAGGTGCTAGGAGAAAAGATGAAACAAAAAGAACTAACTTCTTGCTGTTGTGTTTGATAAAGAGGAGCAACCTCTGGTGAAATAACAGTGACCTAAGATGTCTGGTGATATTATTAGCAACATATATGATGGTCTCTTGTGCTGGACTTTCATGTCTCAGTATTAGACATTGTTTTGTGGACAAATGCAGCATAAATAAAACCTTCAGCAGTTGTGACCTACCAGCTCTTGGAATCATTTATAGCTGTCCCATGTGGAAGAAAGGTGGTTATGATGCTGTCCATTAAGAGAGGTTTAGCATTGTTGTGTCTAACAGCATCATCCTTTTCGTCATAATTGAAATCTGGTCCTGCATCACTGCTCTTGAACAGAGGGAATAAAATGGTGGAGGTAGAATGGGTATGATTTCTGCTCTGCTGAAATGGAAAGGAATAAGCAGGTACGGACTTTCCAGGTCCATCTTATTTGATCTCCCCTGATAATTTAGACCAGAAGAGATCGAAAAGACAGGAAAAGACTAAGGAAGCGTACACACACGCACACACGGTTGTTGGTACACAGACACACACACACACACACACACACACACACACAGAGACACACACACACACACACGGTTGTTGGTACACTTGAATAGGTGCTCCAAATCCAAGACTTTTCAGAGCCAAACACCTGCTGAGGCTGATGCTCAGATCCAAGATCCAGAACTGAATACTGTAGCTTCATAAAAGAGCTTCTGACAAGGATTGCCCCCTACTGTGGGTTGGCACTCGACAGCCAAGGTGGAGCCAGTCATTTCAGGGGTTGTGTCTGAAACCACAAATGCTGCAGAAGGGTTCTGATCCTAGTCATTTAGGATTCTTAAAAGACCTGTGACTGGAGGAGGTGTTTGAACCAGTGCTGTGGCTCTTAGAAGATCTAACTATATCTGCACCAAGTCAGGGTGTGGGCTTCTGGTAGCGTTTCAGAAAACTGGAGCTAACACTCCTAATGTTAAGATCACTTTTTTTGTCTTTGTTGCAAGCAGGTCAGAGTTTGTCTTCCCTTTATGACTTCTAGCTGAACCCCGGCACTCCCAGAACTAACTTCAATAAGGGCACTTCCAGGCAAAGTGCAGGGGCAGTCATGATTGAACATCATGACGCACCTCTCAAAACCACTTGTTTTTTTCTTTTAGCAATGCCAAAGTATTAGATTTAACCACAGTGATGACAACAGTTTGGACCAAGGATGGAAGTTGAAATCCTATTGTTCTTTTTATTTTCTTAACAATTGAAGTGAAGTTTGAAGGAAAAAAATGTCTAAAGTTGTGTTTCTAATTTCATGGTTGGCTCTAGGCATCTATTTTTTAAAGTAGTGGTTCTTTTAAATGAACAGTCAGGTGCTCTGAAGCACAAGGGAAGGAGTCCATGGCAATTCTGAAGCCTCACAGGTAGGTTTATAGATTAATTAGAGTTTTTGTTATGAGCATGCAGAATACAGGCATTTCTTCATACAGGTTTCCCTTGTTTTTTGCTGTACATGCATTCCTGGAAAATGGTGCCTAACTTGAATTCGCATAAAGGGAACCCACTTTACAATGTAACAAATAGGGATATGTTCCAAGACCTCAACTATACTGACCCCAAGACTCATTTCTGCTACTTTTACAAGACAATTTTGGTACTCACCAACAGCAGACAGTACACACAGGCATGGGGTGGTGGTAAATGTTTAGTTGGTGTGAAGAGAGGGTGGTAAAAGCTTCATTGATGGACCAGGGAGAAGGGTAGGAGATAAGCTAGTGTGACACTTAAAAGCCATAGTGGGGATGGCAACTACAGAAACACGTCACAGACAACAAGCAAGGAGCACAGATCCACACTGGAGACTATATTTTGGTGTGTGTCACTCTCACAATGCATCGCACAAAGCAGCTGACCATGGGCTTCCACTACACTGATCGTGTAAGAGTGAATTTACCTTGCATACAATGAATTTTGGGTATAAAAAGGGTCATAGCATAAGAGTGAATTTGCAGACAGAACCTGCATAAAGCAAGGGAAACCTGTATTTACCTTTTTTAATTAAAGAAACACTTTTGGTGATATTAAACTGACAATCTGTAGTTTCACAAATGACTTGATTAATTTTAGGCTGACCAGTATAAAGGAAAGAGAGATTTGGATTCCTTAAAGGAATATGTAGATTCCCAACTACAGAACTCCAAGAAGGCACCAGCTGCTGATAAACCACCTGAAGGTCCACAGCAGCCTCCAGGACCCATCCACGTTGATGTAAGTGCCAGTATGCCGTGAAGATACATAAAGAACAGATCTACTTCTGTCCCATAGGGTTTGATGGCTAAAATAATAGTATAATATTCTCTTAAAACGTAACATTGCCTGTAAATCTCTTAATTATTTTACCCTGGGCTAACGTAGACTGCATGCCTAACGAAATAACTAAGATTAACTAAGACTGCTTTAACAGCCCATAACTATGTCTCTATGTGACTACCATGTGCAGGGTTTTGTTTGTTTTCTAACTCTACCATACCATGTCAAGATTTTAATTTTAACATTCTTCTTAATAACATTTAAAAATCTATAAACAAAAACTTAAATTGTAAATTGGACCAAATTTTTTGCGTGCAAAACTTTAGTCTACTGTTAACTATTTTAGTGTAGCAGTTATTTAATAGCTTATATAACCGTAAGCATTCATGATGCCTTTACTAAACTGAGGAGTTGGAAAACTTTGAAGAATAATAGTAATAATAAGTAACCAACATGTCATAATTGTCGCAATAAGTTGTTTAGCTTTACAATATGATCTTCATGTTTGATCTTTGAAACTGTTCTTGCTGCTTTGCTCATTTTATCAGGCTTTGTGACATCACATTTGGTAGCTGTTGAGATGAATGTCATGAATGGCATTCTGAGCTGAAAAAGGGAAAAGATAGAAATAGAGCAGCTGAAGAAAAAGGATACTGTATATATAGGAAGGAAGGGAAGGAAGAAGCTCCAAGACTGGCAAAAGTAAAAGAATTACAAAGGAAAATATGAATTAGTAGTTTAGGTTTGTCACAATGTGGAGGTGGTCAAAATTAAAATAGAGGTCACTTGAGTCGTAGCATCATCCTAACAACTATCTGCAATTTTGAAGGATGTTTTGATCAGTATCTGTTCTAAAGGAGTAGAGAAACTAAATGATAAATTTGTTTTGCCTCTTGTAATGCATAGATAAAAGTTTATATCAAATTTTTAGGTAAGTTCTCTCCAATAAAAAATGACATAATACAGTAAATAAATTTTGCTTTGTGTGACCTATGTGTCGTATGCAGCAACTCTGTAAATATTTTCAGACCATATTGGAGGTGCTTTGTAAATCTAAGGCCCCTAGCAAACATTAACTTAAAGGTGTGATCTGATCTGTGATCTCAACAGTCATGCCTCCTGCCATGCCACACGTTAGAAGCTATACAGCCACTGCTAAACTAAAATAGTTAACACTAGAGTAAAGTTTTGCGTGCACAGTTTTGGAGCTGGGGAATAGATCCCAGTTGTGCTTTACTTGCTGAAGTGGGTAGAGCCCAGGATTGTGATCCCATGCTTCCCCTGTACCAGCAAGTACCAGCCATAAATTAACCTGAATGTATGGCCAGGTTACTATTTAAGGCGGCTATGCCATTTAAGATGTGATCAGCAGGTTAATCGTGTTTTAATTGTAATGCTTCAGGGACTGAAGCGCCTAAATGGTTTTGTGGCTACTGAACAGAATTGTCTAGGGTTACTCTTTGTGACTTAAGTGTCTAAATACTACCTATGCCCTACTTAGGCATCTACAAGGTTGATTAGGTTTGGACACTTCATGTAGTGAACTTTCAGTTTAGATCTCATGGATTGCATTAATGTTTTATTGTTTATTGCAGTAAAAGTAATATGGGTGGCAGAGTCAATTCTCTCCTTTATTTTAGTTTTCCTGGTTGTAATTTGAGGCTTCTCTAGAAAGTGGATTTTGTTACTACTGACAGAATAACCTTTGTATTTCACTAGAAGCCTTCCCCTTCCTACACACGAGTTTTAGAGCACAAGTTTTGCTTACTTGGTGTAACTCTCTGATGACCCAACATACCAAATCTGCATGTAAGCAAAATGTTACTGCCTTTTTGTCCCATCACTCATACCATTTACCAAAAATCCAGCATGAAATCCAAATTTAGTGTCTAATCTTTGTATTTTCTCTGTGGCATTTAAATGTTTGTTTCTGGTAACAAATCAGTGTTTAAACACATAATGTAACAAATTAGTGGAAAGAGAACTGCTGTTGAAGATATTACAAGTGTGACTACGATATCTGCATTAAACAGCCATGAGAGATTTTTAATGAGTAGATGAATGAAAATGTAGAAAAATGAAGAGGGATTTTCAATTACTAAGCACTATGCCATTCAGATACTGTAAAGGTACCTATGGGGACACTTTATTTCTACAACAATGAGCAACACTGACCACATAGTATTTCTTTCCTTAGCGTATAAATGGAGAGAAAACAGTTAAGTTAAAGAAGGGGTAGATCCTGATAATCGTACATAGCAGATATACTGACTAGACATACTAACAGTGGCGCTTCGGTGGATTTCTCTTTAACATATTTCAGAAATTTAGAGGATTTAGCCAGTTTTAAGGTTTGGCTTTTGTCTCTTTCTTCACAGTCTACAGTCCTGTCTCTCTCTGAAAAAGACTTTGACCAAACTGTTGCAAAGGGGGTCACCTTTATTAAGTTCTACGCTCCGTGGTAAGCAGATTTCTAAATGATGGTTTTGAATGATTGGTTATTAGCTTTTTATTCATTATTTGTTTTGGGTTCTTGCACTCCAGTATACATTGAAGTAGGTAAATAAAACGTATTATATCTTAAATGCTACACAAAACTTAGAGAAATTAAACCTTACCATTAAATAATAGGGAAGAGTACTAAATAAACTACAACCCACTCCTTGACAGTGGTCTCCAAGAAAAGCTTGACAAAACAGGCCTCCCTGCTTGCCTGAATCAAAGCCAGCCTCCTGCAGACATGTGGAGATTTAGGCTGTGAAATGTCCTTGAAGACTTACCATCCAAAGATGCCTTGATTTGATTTAAGCAGGGAAGGGGGACAGTGAGATGCTGTCCCCAGTTATCTCAGGTGATCACTGCTACCTGGGAATTGCGCAAAGTAAATGGTAGTCTTTGTAACCAGGAAAGTCCCAAATTATTAAGGGCTCTGGAGGTTAGAAACTACACCTACATATCCAGGTAAGGTGTCAGTAGAGATAATGGAAAAAAAGGTGTACCATACTACTATCAGAGTCCTGGTAAACACCTCGTTTTCTTGCATACAACATGCCCTGGAATGAGATGTACAGCTTTTCATTCTTCCTTTAAAAAAAGAAAAGAAAAAAGGATCTTTCCTTGTAGTAAGTAACTGAGTGGCAGCAGCTAGGGAGGAAGCAGAGCCTGCTCATTGTTCTCCTCCTGGATGGAGTTAGACTTCACTGTCATTTTCCCCCAGCTGAAGTTTATGCCACAGAAACTGCCGTTACTGTATTTCCTTTCATATAATACACACTGCAATTTCCAGCAGGCAGTTGGTGGGGGGTGAAGTGCATGCTGTATGCAAGAAAATATGGTAACTGGAAAGGATAATCTGTTCCAGCTGTAGTTTCTCGGTGATCTTATTGAAGCTACATGTACTGTATTTTATAGTAGCCCACCTTTGAAGTGAGAAAGGATGATTGTGTTGAGGTCTTGTATCATGTATTCAGGTGGAAAAAGTTGCAAGAGCTCAATGGTTATGTTTCATAGTTCATGTTTCCTGAATAGCCAGTATGTTTGGGGGTCCAGTGGGATGCCTGTGTTATATGACAGATAGCAAATATCCCTCCTTACCATGCACTGAAGATAAATGCACTTCGCCTCATTTGTACCTAGATTGAGAAGCAGTAATTTCTTCTCTATCCCAGTCTCTTAATGAGTTATATCATGATGGTTATGTTGGAGAGGTGGAAATAAAGCTGGATGTCATTGTACACAGAGGACAAAGTAACTCAAATTTCATCATTAGCTGTTCTAACCCAGCATATGCATTGAACAGGAAGTGGTAACAGAATATAAAATTACTTATATGTGATGTTATATTGTCAGTGTTTCAAAGCAGTAAGTTTGACATTTGTAGGACACCAATACTGTGAGCAAATGCATTGTATATTTTAATATGCTTAGGAGGATGAAAATGATATCATTTTGGGTAATTTTGAGACTAGGAAGGAATGATATTGCTACTGTCTAAAAGAAGTACTACAGATTTTTAAATTCAGCATAGTTGACTTCGAATGATGGCATCTTTTGGTATGGCTGTGTCACTTGCATTGCATTAAGGGCTGTCCATGAACCTGGATCCTACAGTCTGCCAAACCAAGCTGAGATTGACTTAGCTATGTCTATTAGAGGTGTGCCCAGGGTTCTTTGGGGGAAGAAGAGAAATGCAGTAGTAAATGAAAATGCGACTTCAATGCCTCTTCTAGCAGTTCTCACTATTCTTTCTTACCTGGCTTGCTTCCTTCGTAACTTAATGGAGATATTTATGCACAGAAAAGTCCATGTGTGCTGCCTTTTAATGCTCATTCTCAACCTACTTTTGTTCTCCTTTCTTCTGTCATTGCTGAAACTAGAGTGAAACTTTTCATCATGTGCTTAGCATGCACTGGGTTCTGTAAAATACCAGTGTGCCAATCTGATGATCATAAATAAGTTTATTGCTTTTTATTTCTTTTACCCTTGTAGACTCAACATAGGTAAGGGAGAATGGGGTGGATTTCAGTTCTTGTGTGGAATCATTAAGTTCAGTTTATACCTGTGTTCAGTCACTGCAGATGTTAAGATTATACAGGCCCAAATCTAGCCTGGATAACCTGTCAGAAGTGGTGATGCATAGCAGGTAATAAGCCTAGTTAAAATACAGATTTCAAGGTGTGGTTTGCAGTGTTAGGAATTGGTTTTCCATATTATGCTACTGAGCATAATATGGGAAGAAATGGAAAGATGTGATCCACTAAATCCTTTTATAGTGGACTTTTCAGAATTGCTTGACACTTTCAGCATCTTATCTAGAAGGGGAAGTGCTGTATAGGGCCGACTCTGAAAGAATTCATAGATTCATAGATGTTAAGGTCAGAAGGGACCTCAATAGATCATCGAGTCCAACCCCCTGCATAGACAGGAAAGAGTGTTGGGTTCAGACGACCCCAGCCAGATACCTATCTAACCTCCTCTTGAAGACCCCACGGTAGGGGAGAGCACCACCTCCCTTGGGAGCCCATTTCAGATTTTGGCCGCTCTAACTGTGAAGAAGTTCTTCCTAATGTCCAGTCTAAATCTGCTCTCTTCTAGCTTAAGGCCATGATTTCTTGTAACTCCCAGGGGCGCCTTGGTGAGTAGAGCCTCACCAACTCCCTTCTGCGCCCCCATGATGAATTTATAGGCAGACACAAGGTCGCCTCTCAACCTTCTCTTGTGGAGGCTGAAGAGGTCCAGGTGCCCTAGGCTCTCCTCATAGGGCTTGGCCTGCAAGCCCTTAACCATACGAGTGGCCCTTCTCTAGACCCTCTCCAAGTTATCCACATCCCTCTTAAAGTGTGGTGCCCAAAACTGGGTGCAGTACTCCAACTGCGGTCTGACCAATGCTGCGTAGAGGGGAAGTATCACCTCCTTGGTTCTGTTTGCCATGCATCTGCTGATGGATGATAAAGTGCAGTTAGATTTGCTGATGACTTCATCACACTGACGACTCATGTTCTTGATGGCCATGGCAGTTCTTGATTTGAAGGGGAACCAAACTGACTTCTTTAAAGAGCAATGCTTCTTCCTGCTTCTTACGAGGCCACAAGACCTGCTCTCACGTGGAATGGAAGTATTTCCCAGCTTAGCTGAACTCCAGACAACAGAGTCACTCATCTGGAGTCAGCAGCCTAGCGTGACAGGAGTTAAGCAGCCTGGTTCTGCCAGGGATGCCTTATGCAGCCTTGGAGAGGTCTCCTCTCTTCATTCACCTGTTTCCTCATGTACCTTGGGGCACTGATATTAGGACACATTTCACAATCTGGGGGTGAACCAGGGCACAGCTTGCTATTGAAGAAGCTCCCTTGGGGCATTTTACTCTGTGCCTCAGGTTCACACTAGGCTCACTCTGCTTTGAAGTGGGGAGGGAAGATGGAAAAAGAGAGAGTGAAGGTGACTTTATACAAACCAAAGAATGACAGATGACAACTGAGAGAGGGCATTTTAAAAAAAGCTTTTTAACCAGTATATTCTCTGTGGCAGCAGCTATCAAAAAGCTGTAGTTTAGGAAAATATTCAGTGTATTTACATAGTTTGTCTCCTGTTCTTAGCCTGAAAAATCATCTCTGTGTATACAGTTATAGTTCACTGTATATAAATGACTTTTTTTTCTCAAGTGGACTAATTTGTGTTGGGTTAAGCAAACAGTGTTCTGTAGAGTTGTACTGCCCCTCGGTTTGTTTTGGGTAAACATTAGCATAGGTTGCACGGTAAATACAATCCCATCCTGCCTTAATTGTTTTCGTGTGTGGTCAGTAGCGCCTTTACACTCACATAATCTTAATGGAGTAGTTTAATAATATACTTGTTTTTTAACTTGTAGAAAGAAAGCACTGGCAAACTCTTCACTATCTTTGTCAGTGCTCTCTCTCAATCAAGCCTAAGGATATTTTTAGGCTGCTGTAAAGGCCAGACTTAGGTGCATCTGGGGCAAAATAAAATGAGCAGCCCATCATCTTTAATAATTATAAAGTGTAGCCTAGGAATTCTTTTCTTGTAGGCACTAAAGATAAAAACTCAGAATAGCAAAATTAATGTGGCAGTGGTTATTTTTCCTATTTCATTAGCTCTGTTTCTTGAGAGTCAGTTCTTCAATATGACCCTTCTACCCCATATTCTTACATTTTATATAGCTCTAGAGATGCTGGTTTAAAGCATCCATAGTGTCTTGACAACAGTAACTAATATGTAGTGAAGATCAGAGTATGGCCCAGTACGTGTGTTCTGTAGATAGCAAAGGGCATATATAGCAAAGGTTAGAGGGGAGAGCAACAAGGGTGATGTCATGGTGGGGGTCTACTATAGACCACCAGATCAGGAGGAAGTGGTGAATGAGGCTTTCTTCAAAGCTCGCGGAAGTTTCCTGATCACAGACCGTGGTTCTCATGGAGAACTTCATTCACCCGGACATCTGCTGGGAGGGCAGTACAGCAGTGCACAGGCAATCCAGAAAGATGTTGGAGAGTGCTGATGTGATTGCAGAGCCACTGGCCACTGTCTTTGAAAAATCATGGCAATCAGAAGAGCTCCTGGATGACTGGAAAAGGGCAAACATTGTGCCCATATTTAAGAAAGGGGAAGAGGATCATCCAGGGAAGTACAGACCAGTTAGCCTCACCTCAGTCCCTGGAAAAATCATGGAGCAGATCCTCAAAGAATCCATTTCTAAGCACTTGGAGGAAAAGGTGTTTAGGAACAGTCAACATGGATTCAGCAAGGGCAAGCCATGCCTGACCAACCTGACTGCCTACTATGATGAGATGACTGGCTCTGTGGATACAGGGAAA